TCAATACAGTGGATGCTGCATCTGTTGATGCCTCCACTGGTATTTCACCGAGACAAAAAAAAACAATAGTCATTTGTCTTTAACTGATGCTTCCAAACTGTTCAGAACCAGACGAGTTTCAATTTAAGACATTGTTAATGAACCATTGTTCCAGAGGACCCATCTCCAGACATAAAACTTTTGTTATCTGACACAAGATGAAACTGTAGACTGACCTGGCTTCAGGGAGACAGTAGGAAACATCCGTCCATCCAATTCCTGTCCCAGCTTATTCCTCAGAGTAGCAGAGATATAAAACACAACTGTACGTCCTAGAGCTGAATGAGGCCAAACATATTTTGGGAGAGTTCTGATCAGTTCAGCTAATACATTGGAAAAAAGAATTTTGTGTTTTATCACTTGAACTCTTCAGGGACAACTCTGTGTGCTGGAGGCTGACACCTGCGGCTGTAGGGTCAAAATGAAACCCTCTGTTTTGACTTGCAGAGCCACAAATTTGAAATGTTATAAAACAATAAATATTTAAATCTTATGCAAACACAGCTGTGTTAAGAAGAAGAAACCTATCTGGGTCTGGACTTGACTTTTCAACTTGCTCAAACCTCAGACCTATCTCCAAACTTCCCTTTCTTTCTAAGATTTTGGAGAAAATAATTTCCATTCAATTAAACGAGTTCTTGAATGAAAATGGTATTCTTGAGATTTTTCACCCTGGCTTTAAGCATTTACACACAGCACCGAAAAAGCCTTAGTAAGGGTCTGTAACAACATTCTCCTAACAGATGACTCTGGTCAGTTTGCGATCCTGGTACCCCTCAACTGTTATCGCTACTTTTGACACTGTTGACCACGGTATCTTATCATGGTTAGAACACTTGTTTGGGATTATGGGTGAAGCATTAGAATGGCTCCGTTCGTACCTGAGCAACAGGAGATTTTGTGTTAATGTTGGTAATAGTCTATACGCTTCAGTGCCTCTTTCCTGTGGGGTCCCACAAGGCTCCATTCTTGGACACCTTCTGTTCTCATTGTATCTGCTCCCCTTGGGGTCTATCCTGAAGAAACATGGTCTTTCCTTTCATTGTTATGCTTATGATTCTCAGATTTATCTGCCCTTGAAACCCAACAGTTCCTGCTCCATTTGCCCTTTGCTCAAATGTCTTGATGACATCAAGACTTGGATGGCTACAAACTTCTTGAGTTTTAATTATCAGAAAACTGAGGTCATGTAGCTCTACCGCTGTCTCTGATCCTGTAAACCTGGGCTCCCTTCAACCATATCTAAAGCGGTCTGTTACCAATCTCGGTATAGTTTTAGACTCAGACTTTAAGTTTAATAAGCAGATCAACTCTGTTTTTCAAAAAAATCTTCTTTCAGCTAAGGCAGATGAGCTTAAGTCCGTGCTGACCAGATTGGACCTTGAAAAATTAGTCCACACATTTGTTACAACCCAGCTGGACTACTGTAACTTGCTTTATGTTGGGGTCAGTCAGGCTTAGCTTTCACGTCTCCAGCTCGTCCAAAATGCTGCAGCTTGGCTTTTAACAGGAACTCATAGGTTTGAGCACATTTCACCAGTTCTGTCCTCCCTTCACGGGCTTCTTGTGTGTGTCAGAATTTATTTTAAAATTCTCCTGCTGACATTTAAGTGCATTAACGGCCTTGCACCTGCATACATCTGTTGTAGAGAGTGCCATCTCTTCTGCCATCATCTGCTGGGGTAGCAGCACCAGAGCAAGTGACTTAAAAAAGATCAACAAGTTCATAAAGAAGGCTGGCTCAGTTCTGGGGACTCCTCTAGAACCTTTGGAGATGATTGTTCAAAGAAGGATTCTTCATAAAATGAAGAACATTATAGACAACCCTCAGCATCCTCATCAGACTGTCATACAACAACAAAGTGTCTTCAGTCAGAGGCTTCTTCAAATCCGTTGTAGGACAGACCGCTACAAGAGATCCTTCCTGCCCACAGCCATCAGCATCTATAACAACTCATTAATGAAACCAGGATGATGAGTTACAACAACATTTAATTTCCCTCTGGGATTAATAAAGTATTTTTGAATTGAATTGAATACCTCTCTGACCTTCTCCATCCTTATGCTCCTTCTTGGGCTTTGAGATCATCGGACCCAATTGCTTTTGGGGGTACCAAAAACCAGGCTGAAGCTCAGGGGAGATAGAGCCTTTTCAGTCATGTGCCCTAAACTCTGGAACAATCTGCCCATCAACATTAGGCAGGCCACTTCAGTCTCTGCTTTTAAATCTCTCCTGAAAACACACCTGTACTCATTGGCATTTAACACAGGGTGATCTGAATTAGTATTTCATTGTTTATGACTATTTTTTATGTTTTTATTCCTGATGCTGTAAATATATATTATTTTTGATTTGACGCTGTGATCTTTTTGTTAAGCACTTTGGTAACAGTTCTTGTTTTAAATGTGCTTTATAAATAAATCTGACTTGACTTGACTCCATTAATGAAGGGGATGACGGTCAGTAGTGCATTATTTTAGGCAATAGCTGAGAAAACAAAAGCAATGACCACCTTTTGAGATGATGTGTGTAATGTGAACAAGATTGTGCATTGCATTAAAATCATTAAACCCAATGATTAGTGGAACATATACAAAATACCATGCAGTTTAATTTTTTAATTATATTTATTTTTAAATTTTAAATGTTGGAACAGGGGAATCTTTTTTTTTTTTCATTTAGCCTTTATTTATCCAGGTTAGTCTCATTGAGCCATGAGAACTCATTTTCAAGAGAGACCTGTTTAGGGAGAACATGGTGGGGGTTAAGGGCCTTGCTCATGGGCCCAGAGTGGGGCAAATGAGGATGGGGGCAAGTGTGGGTGTTTCACCCACCCCACCCACAATTTTGATGTTGTCGGGGCCGGGGCTTGAACCGGCGATCTTCGGATCATAGGCCCACCTCTCTAACCTCTGCGCCACCACTCCCCATTTACCACTTTGTTTCCTCTTAACAAGAAAGCTTTGTAAAAGTTAGAGAACTAATCAACGAAGTTGAAAAAAAAATAAATGCATTATTATTATCATTATTGCTTTGCATCTTTCAGAAGCTGATTTCCAAAAATAATTTCAGAGCCAGTTTGGTTTGTCCTAAGGCTTCTGTAGGAGCATGGCGCTGCATGACAGAGGGGAACTTTGACATCTTTGGACACAAATGGATAATTTTTAATTAATGCAACACAACCAATTTAATGATGTTCAATATAAAAAATATATATCCGTTGTTAAAATGTTTTTGACATGTCCCAACCTTTTGTAGTTGCGGTTTTGCAGTTTTTATTCCAAGACAAGTCCTTCATACATTGATGAACCTTGCTTCATTTTTACTTTAAAATATAAAAACATGATATACCAGTCAGATTTATAACATGCTGCAAATTAAAAAAATAAGCTGTGTGATCCCCACCAAGTTTTACATATAGTGTTCCCCTTTAAAACAAATACAAAAATAGTTCACTGTATTTCAGGAACTGACTGATTATGAATAATAATCACAATGATATTCAAGCTTAATGATCATTTGTTGACCTGTTTTGATTGAGATAATGAGTTCTGTGTCTGCATGTCATACACTGGCCCTGTTTGCACCATATGTCTCCCTGTCAAAGCAAAACAAAACTTTTTAATAAGATCTTTAAAGGCCCTATGCCCTGTAAATAAACACTTCGAACACAACATGATGTTTGTCCCCCGACTCGGTTTAATCTGTGCTTTGGGACAGATTCTAGTCTTCTCATTGGGTTTTTGGTTGGAAATTAGTAACAATATCTTAAATATCAAGACATGGACATAATTGTGGAAATGATTACACTCAATATAATTATTGCACAACTATTATCTGGATTAATGAGTGAAAAGCTACAGATAGGCTGAGCTGCTGTAATCAAATAGAAGAGAGAAACATTTAACATTTCTGTTTGCTTCAAGTCAAATACTTGTGATGGAGGCACTAATCTCTACTGGAGTAAATAACAGGACGACAAAACCTGTCATTTTCTCTGTGTTTGTGTGAAGCTTTTTGACATTTCATTCCTCTGCAGTTACTCGTCTGGGCCGAAGCGGTTTTCTCCACCGATCTGTCTGATTAAATAAGGGTTAAAATTGTGTTTTGTGGGATACTTTTAGAAAGGTGAGCAGGAACATGTAAGGAACAGGTGAAGCCTCTACACCTTCAGGGACATTCCAGCATTCCGAGTTCACTTTACCTGGAGCACCGATCATCGTTTTTGGACCCGCTTCAGCTCCAGCATGCACAGGAGTGGTGCGAAACAAAGTTCTGTCTTTGAAAGGTCTTACTCAAGAATCTGTGTTCATTTACAGTACAGGACAGTGATCGGAGGGAAAACTGATCTGACTGGATGTTTTATAAGAATGAACGATCTTTTAGCACATTATGCACACAAACAAACTGAGTGTTAATGCAGAATCTTTTAATACTAAGTACAATACAGAAAGTCATTTGTAAACAAAAACAAAGACCTTGTCTTTTTTGTGCCCCGTCTTCCATGTCAGACAGGAGGACGTGACAGAATGATGCCTGATGCTGATTATAAGCCAGAATGTTTGTTCTAATATCCATAAAGGAGGTGCTGGTCCTTTTCAGTGGAGGATGGTGAGAGTGTAGGCAGTCATTTGGAAGGCTTTTAAAGTGCAGAGGTTTCTCTGTGGGGACTTCAATGCACCACAAGTCAAGTGCCTTTAACGTTCTTCAAGTATTATACAGCTCCAAACGTTGAAGAAACAAGCTGTTTTCAGTGAAAATCTACATTCAGTTAAGACATGTCATGACGATTCTTTAGACGTCTTAAAAATAGTCTACATCCATCTAAAAACCCCTCCCATTAATAACTGATAAAATCACTAAGTGATGAAGTGGTAGACGTTGAAATGGAAAAAGCAGCGAGAAGCAAGTCCCGCTTGTGTGCAGGTGTCTATGACTATAAGAGAACCTTTGGTCCGTTTCACTTGCTCTCAGTGAGCTTCGCTAAACTGGCTTGACGGAAGGCTGGTTGGTCCTTCATCTCCAGCACACAGTCTCTCACCATCTCTGCAAACATGGCCGGCCAGAGCTTGTGTAAAACCTCACCCTTCAGATTAGTGTCTGAAGCCCTTTGGACTAACTCCTGGAGGTACTGCTCTATCATAACGGCACGCTCCGATGAATCCACTGAGCCCTCCTGAGAAGAAAGAAGAATAGTTTTGTCTAATTAAAATTTTGTAGTAGCTAGAAAAGCACGTGAAACTAATTTGTAAGAGAATGAATAAATCTGAGTTTCTTTAATGGATAAAAGGTTGAAATAATACATACAAGTCTAGATTTTTAATGCCATTTTTAAAATCTATGACAAATAAAATGTGAAACCACAACTTGGTTAAAAAATGGTTTGTAAGCCTCAAAATGACACGTTTTGGGATGTAATGCAAGGTGAATGCTGTGTAATGTGCTCATGGGTTAATATAGAGTAAATACCACTTTTTAACAATGCATGGAAGAGGCTGAGGTCACTTTTAGATATGAGAATAATAAGGGTTTGTAGTGAACTAGACCTCAGGCATCAATCTGCCTCTGAGGACCTTCAGGGGACAAGAACTTTTATTTCATTGATTTGAATCCAGAAATACAAATTATCTCATCAAGAGACTATTTAATTGTATCCTGAATTAATCAATTGAAAGAACACTCTTATTTTTTATATTATCATTACTATTTTACAATATCTTGATAAACAAAAGTGTGTTTAGTTCATACCATTTCTAATGTTGAAGTAAACCACTCATTTAAATCAACTGTGAAACAGTATTAATGATTTTTAAACCTCATTAGACTTAGATCATACAAGTTAAATGTCTATTTACGAAGTAATTGTGCATTTTACTCTTCTGTCTGAATGAGGAGTGGACTTGATGTCGGTCAAAAGTCAGAGAACAGGTTATGAGAACGAAGTGCCTTGTTTTAAAACTCTCAGAGAGTAAATAAGGAACTGGCTGGCACCTGTGAGTCTCACTTCAAAATATTTTCCTGTCTGTACTAACCGTTCTTAAAAACATTTCTGCTGTCTGTTGACTTCTAATAACCCTCTGACAACACTAAAACTACACCCCTGCTGGTTGTGCTAACCAATCAGGAAGTACCACGTAACAGGAAGTGGATACCCTTTAAAAGTCAACACTTCTTGGAACTAGTCAGTCTTCCTGGGACTTTAAGTCTTACAAGTCTTACTGGAACTTTCAGTCTAAGATGAGAATCAGTCTGACGGCGAGTCTTACAGGAACTTTCAGTTCTTACTGAAAGTCTGTTTGGAGTTCTGTCTGGGACTACAGTCTTGCTGGAGTCTTACAGCTGAACTAAGTAGCTGATGGATTTGACCGTGTGCCAAGGGTCCATCCATTCCAGCAGAGTCACAGCATGCCTCGCTGTGAACTCACCCCGAGCATTAAATGCTCTCAACTTCTAAGGAAGCTTATTCTGTTGAACGGAGTACTTCGTGATGACTTCTGACGATTCCCAGCCACTCTGACCGGAGACGCTGAAAGAAGCGTGAAATAGACCTCTGTACCGGAGCAGATTTATCTTCTGCTAAGGTAACGAGTCGTCACACGCTGAGTGTACCGAGGGCTGAGCTGGGGTCGGAGGAAGGGTGCCATTTCTGGTCAACACATCTTCCTTCATCCATCTAAATCTCCTCTTTAAATCTAAAACTTCTTTACTCCTTCTCTGTAAACCTCTTGCCAGTAAATCAAGCTAAGTGCCTTCAGAGATAAATTATTCTCCATCAGTAATCTTCTGTTGTCTTGTTATTTGAACTTGCTAAGTTTATTAATCAGAAACAGATCAGCAAATCAAGTGTACATGTTTTGATGTTAATTTTTTTATTCTGTTAAATAAATGACCGCATTTATTCTGATGGGTCAAAGATAAATTACGTCTCATGTCACTAATTATACACTCCACTCTCAAGTTATCTTGGTCACATGACAGAAATTTAACTCAAAAAAGAAAGAATCCGTTGTTAATTAAACATTTAATATTCTTTGTGCTTGAACTAGCCTTAAGAATAATTAATTAGTAGTGTGTCCGCAGTAAAAGCTGTCCTGACATACTACAGGTGCAACTACAGTAATATACATAAAAATAAAGAAACCAGGAATGACCATACCCAGTATTTTTATGTGATTTTATCAACATCACAATTTGACCGTTCTGTTACCTCAATTCAATTCAAAAATACTTAATTAATCAGGTCTCTCTTGTAAATGAGTCCTCGAGGCTCAATGAGATTTACCTGTCTAAATATAGGTTGAATGAAAAAAAAAATCCCAAAAGGAAATTAAATGTTGTTGTAACTCGTTATCCTCGTTTCATTAAGAGATGTTATAGATGCTGATGGCTGTAGGCAGGAAGGATTTCTTTTAAAGGTTCGTCCCACAGTGGATCCGAAGAAACTGCTGCAGATGCGGTCCAAACTGTCCACCCAGACTAGGCTGGCTTCTCGGTTCCTCGGGCAGAAGGACCGCCCGAATGCTGGGCAGAACTCCTCCCAGAGCCATCTCATGAACCTGATCCACTCCTCCCAGCAGCCTGCCAAGCTCCTCGTCATTGTGAACAGTGCCTGCATGGGCCAGGGAACGATTCCAGTCCTTCTGCTGTCACGAGCCGTGTTTCCTGCCAGCTCCAGGAGCTCAGTGGTCAGGCGCTTGAGCACAGCTGAGACAGGAATGCATCTACGGCACCTTCTTTTCAACCCATTTGAGATTTGGGGTTGGAACTGAGATGTTATTTGAGCTTTTGAGATGTTGATCAGCTGCTCCCAGTTGTAACAAAAAAAATCCTTGTTTTTATGGTTATGCATCATAAGAAATATCCAAAACTAAAAAGGTTTCAGTAAAAATTCTTCCAGCTGCACAGCATCTGATACCAGAGGAAACAATCATAACAAAAAATGTGATTTACATCCAGAAAAAGGGATTTGAAGTTTCCAAAAGCAAAATCTTAGAACAAATGTAACAGAGCTACTCCAACATGCAGCCATCCCAAGTGGCGCAATTCTAGAACTACTTCTAGAACTAGAACTACTACCAAGATACTCTAACTTCTTTTATTTCATTATTTAAAAATAATAAACAAAGCTCGTTTTCTCAAGATAAGATTTTTTTTTTTGTGCAAAGATGAGTGTTGCTTGTGTCACACCCATTGTCAGTACTGCCATCATGACACATCAACTGTGTGAATGTCCCTCAATGTGACATTTTCAACTTGAATCATTTACCAGCATACCTTTTCTAATATCTGATCAAATGTTTTTGTTTAATTTGGATTCAAGACCATTTCTGGATATCAGAAGAAAATAGGCTTTTCTAGGTCAAAATACCTAAATATTTTAGCTCATTTTCTGAATAAAACAAGTTTAGTTATTTTGAGTATATGACATAAGCAAACCATTATCACAACAAAGCAAGCATAGTTATGAGATATTATGAAAATACATTTTCAAGTACGTCCTGCTTCAACTATTTTGCATTAGCCCAGTTATATGCATCTGTTTTAAATATGTGCACCCAAATGGTACAGTTTTAGGAAAAGATTGTTGTGAATTTGTTATTGTCAACTGCTCCCACCTGCAGGAGTCAACACAGCGAGCAAACATGCACAGATTGGGTAATTTTTTTTTTTTTATGGTGAATATCCTTCCTGACGCAACATGGGCACGTACCTTAGGATTATGAGATTTTGGCCCTGACCACAGAGCTACCACAACCCCCCAAAATATTGCTGTAATTTTAGGAGAAATCACAAATGCAGCGTTGATATAGAACATATGACAAAGACAAACATCAATATGATGATGACTTTGAGCTCCAGTGTGACACATCTACATATCTGAACAGTTTTCTAATTAAAACTTTTATTTCATTTAGGCCATCTTTTGGTCCCTGGCTCTGTTTATTTGTGAGAGACAGACAGTTTAACAGTTTTAGCTTTTAAATCACTGTGTTGCTGTAAAACAGAGCATAAAAGAGAGCTAACCTCAGGGCTTTCTGCACTGCAATCCCTGCTTGGATAGTTAAACAGCGCTCTGCTCAGACCTTCACCCTGGAGCTTCCCATTATCCCGTAGCTCTTCTGGACTAAGCCCTGCCCGCCGGCCGCGCCCCTCCAACAGGAACTGCAGCTGCCGTTTCCTTCAGGGTGAAAACAGAAAGGAGAAAAGGGTGAGGCAGACACCAACACCTGGAGAGAGTCAGTGAAACCACTGTAGCAAAATGTGCTTTTCTAGTCCAAATACAATTTCTAACCCTCTTACTTATTTATTTATTTTTTTAATTGAAAGGTTATAAACTTGAGAAACTCTTTGGAGCTAACAGCATATAACTCAAACAGCCACCAGTTAATTGGTCGCTGGAATACACATCATAAAATATCAGTGTTTGAATCTGATTCTGTTGCAAATAAGCACTTTTAGCAGGATTGTAAACTACACCAAATGTTTCTTTGTATCAGTATGAAATCTCATGGTACTCTTCTGCTCCAACATGTTCGGCAGGTCAGTGCCAGGATGCTAAAATTTACAGAGCAGGCTGGAGGCAAACATTCCACGTCAGATGACATGGTTTGTAAAAAGAGTGTAAACGTCTCTGTGTATGCCAGAACGCATCATTCAGCAATCTTCATACAGATTAACACAGGCTTAAAGTCAAAGTAAAACTAATTTAATCTGGGTTATAATTACATTATACAAGTTTATAAGTTAAAGGTGAACACGTAAAACGTCTGACATCTAATTGACACTGAAAGATAAAGTTTGATCTTGGATTCTTTTCTAAATTTTGAATGCAACAATGTCAGAAATCGTTTTTGCTGCGACTTTTATCAGCTGAAAATTTTATGAGAAGAAAAAGAAGTTTATGGATTTTGTGAAAATCACCTTCATGGCAGGCATGTTTGTGCAACTCCAGTCTAAATGTGTGTAAAATGTATTTAAGAGAACAGCAGGCATAACCAGCAAAGAAAAACTGAGTGGAAAATGTCTCTATGCACAGAAGAAGAAAGAAATAGAGTATTGCCAGACAAACAGCCTGTGGCAGTCTGCAGACTTTTTAAGTAAGGTCAAAAAGTGAACTAATGTACACGTTTAGTTACATAATTATTAATAAAGACAATAAATTGCCCCACATTTCCTTTCAATGAGCTCTGCAGCATCATCAGTCCTGTTGGCATTGCATGTTTACTGTGAATTATTTACACGTTGCTAAAACATACAGTGAGTTTTTCTAAACTCCAACTTGATAGACTGAATGAGATGATTTCTATAGCTTTAAACTGAAGTTTTGTTTTTGTTTTTGTTTTTAACTAAAGTTTCTGTGCTGAAAAAAATGTAATAGAAAAACATTCAGGACACCATGCATTAGCAACATCCCAGAGGGGATGAATCTTCACCCTGGGAATGGGATGACCTTTTTAACTCCCTGACCTCTGCAGGAAATCTGACCCCTAAACAAGGTTTCAACCCACTGAACAATGTAATAGATCACACATGCTAAAATGGGAACATGCAACATAAACTCCACCGCAGTTTTGTTTAAAGTGATTTTTACTCATAAAATCTAATTAAGTTTCATTCTAATCTAATCCAAACTACTGGTAATCTAAATCGGGGTACTTTCATATGTGTGTAAAATATAATTTATAGCAGCGCTGTTTGCTAAGATTTTACAGATTAGACTAAAAGTTTTCCTGTTATCTTACCTGATTCAGGTATTTACTGCTGGAAGATGCAAAGATTTATCTAACAAGGTTGAGTCAGGTCCTTTGGATGGGTTCTTGTTGAAAGGTTTTGTCTTATCCAGAGGACTTCTTCAATCTGAGGAGCTGCAATAAGCTCAGTCTTATAAACAGCACTTTCTCATAGTGGATCAACCAGTTTGCTGTTGACAGCCAAAACTAGCTGTTCACATGCATTTGGCTGTCACCAGCAAACTGGTTGATCCACTATGAGAAGGTGCTGTTTATAAGACTGAGCTTGTCGCAACTCCTCTGACTGAAGAAGTCATCTGAATAAAAGATAAAATGTTTCAACAAAGAAGAATCTGTCCAGAGGACCTGACAGCCTTGTTCAGTTCATCTATCTGGATTACTGAGCATCAGGACAATGCTACTTTTAGTAGATAACTGAAAGTTTAAAAACGCATTAGTAAAAAATGAACATGCATTATTTACTTTATTAGACTCCGACTTTCTCAGATTTTACATCTGCACTTTAATTTCAATGTCCTCTCCTAAAAAAAAAGTCTTAACTTTTAGTATAAAAACTAAAGTAGAAATTTAACTGAAAAGAGAAACAGATTACATATTTTCTTGATCAGCTGGTTTTAATTACACCAAAAGAAAAGTAGCACTGTTTTACACAATAATTTTGTCTTTGCCTTAAATAGCAAGTCTTTTGCAGTCATTAAAAGCTCTCTTCTGTATGAACTTTGTTTTACTGACCCAGAGTGACAGTCCTCAAGAGATGTTTGACAGGAAGGAATGTTTGTATCCAAGTGCCAAGTACCCACCCTTACCCTGAGACACTCAGTCTAAATCCCCTGGCTCCTCTGTGCCAGGCCCTGTCTCAAAGTTACACACGCACAAAAAACAAAAAAAAAGTATACAAAAGATGCTACATAGACATGCACACACACGTACCACAGTCTAAATATTCAGAAAGTGGAGCTCATGTAAAAAATCCAAACATTCTTGAAACATCGAAACAAATCCCACACACAGTGAAACAGTCTGCTTAACATCCGAGTTCTCACCTGGACTCTTCTAGGAGCAGTAGGAGCCGGCAGTGGGGAGTTTCAGTAGCTGCTATGTGACCCAGAGTCCCAAACACTCGCTCTGCAGCAATCACATCATTCATGGTCACCTAATGTCAACACACACATAGAACAGCACTAGATACTTCACTGACTGGCTTTTTCACATCTACTTGAAAAAAATAGAGGCAGGTTTACAGAATAAAACCTTCCGCTAGGTTACAACACATTCATTTGTATAAAAAAATGAAGAAACATTTTTTAAAGTCTTATGGTTAGGGTTAGGCAACCCCCAGCTATCCACACTCCACCAAACAATGTCTGAATCAACTCACAACTTTCAACTAGAGTTTACAATGAGAGGTCTGATCTCACCTCCTGGTCATTGATCTTCTGGAGGTTGAAGTGGTGGAGTCTGTAGATGACGAATGAGCGCCACAGAGCCAGACTGACCACTGGGTTGCCTTCTGGGTGGATGGTAAGCTGGTCCAGACGCCTGACCTGAGCCAGGGCTGCAAGCTGGGGGAGACGGCTGATGCTGGTTTCCAGGAAGATCAGATGCTATGAATGAAGAAACAAGTTGTGGTTCAGCTACTATGAGCTTGGGAGATACCTAGGTGATTATGATAAAACACTAGAGATCAGAGAGGCTGTTTGCTTTGGAAAAGCACATTTCAAATGTGACAGTTGTGTCGAATTAAATCAGAAATCAAGATTTTAACAACCTTAAAAGGATTGTATAAAATACCAAGTAAAATATCTGAAAGTGTTGTGCTGGTGGCTAAAAATTATGACAGGATATCTACAATCATTAATTACAAACTATGTTCCTTTAGCAAATAAGTGCTGGACTATTGTGATGTAATTTGAAAATAAATGTAATGTAATAAAGAAAAGAGTGAAGTCAGTAAAGACAAAAGTGGCAAACAATAAGAGTGCTGAGCAGCTGCCCCTCCTCAAGACACATCATTGTAGTTATAACAAAAGCTTTTTAATATACTTTCCTTTATAGGATTTATTAAATCTCTATATATTTAATCCAGCCTCACCGACAGATTAGGGAACTTGACCCTTATTCTCGACAGTGTGGGTACAATGGCGTCGAAGTTGATGTAGCGGAAGGTGATGATGTTGACGGCACCGGCGGTCTGAGCACCCCAGCCCCTCTCCAGGGCCTCCAGGGCTCCCAGTCCAAATAAACGCAGGGTGTCTCCATCAAGCTCTGCTAGATGACTGTCAGACAAGGACAAGCTCTGAACATTGCCACTCCCTGTCTCCACAAGCCTGCAAAGCAATACATACAAACAGTCACTGCACTTCTGACTGCACAGAATTCCTTGCTGTGAGAAACCTGAAGACTGCCTTTGTGCCAAAAGGGATGATGCTTGAAATCTTTGGATATTATGTACATAAGTGTAATGTCAGTCTCGTTTTTGTAGTTGCTCAACAACAGGTAAAGTGTCCTTTCCTGGAAAGAAAGTTTTAAGAGTGATCTGGGCAAGTATCCTGCAGATAAAAGCCCTATGTCTGAGTCCACACACTCAGCCTGTTTAGTCTGTTGAACTTCAGGAGACTTTTCTTCATAGCAGGATATCAGATGTCCACAAGCTGCATGCCACTGATTAGTAAATTGGATTTGTGATCGGTTAAAGTGCAAGATGAAAAAAACAAATAAACAAATGAAGAAGAAATGAATGATAATGACAGATCTTCAGGTGACCCTGCAGATATTGGTTAATGTTTTATTTCATTTTTGTCAAGTTCTAAAATTGTGCAAGTGTGAATGATTTTTTTTTATCTTAAAATTGGATCGTTTAAGAATTTGTTGTTTATTTAAATAATAAAATTATTAAGAAATCAATGTTGTAGAATTAAAAATTTGCTCAATCAATTTACCTCTTTGCTCAGTAAGAAGAGTAAATGGACTGTACTTATATAACACCTTTCTATTTTACCAAGATACTCAAAGCACGTTACAACAATCTGTGTCCTCATTTACCCATTCATACAGCACTCCAATAGATCTACGTATACAAAGAGTAATCAGTGCTTTATCACATTCATACGTCGATGGGACACACATCGGAGGCAATGAGGGGTTCAGTGTCGCCCAGGGACACTTCAGCATGTGACTGCTGGTGAAATCAAACCCCCAACTCTTGCATTGGAGGACAACTGTTGAGGTTTGGTGTGTCATATTCAACTCTGAAATATTTCACAACTGTGTACCGTAGTGTTGTAGTGCTCGAGACTGGTTATGGTCTCAAGACCACTTTGATGGTTTTGGTCTTGTCTCGGACTCGACAACATTTGGTCATGGTCTTGTCTCAGACATTGAGGACTCTGGATTTTATTTCAAGACCAGTCAAGACCACAACGGTGGAAATATCACTAAATTGCCAGAATATTGTCCAGTTTATTTGTTAGCATCTTTGTTTTTATTGGATGGAAAACGTACTGGTTCAAATCCAAGCGATAACGTGACTCATTGTTAAATACATGATTTTGTTACCGCTGTCACGCCCACCCCCTTTCACTCGCACGCGGTTCTGTACCAACAGAACAATACAGACAACAGAATGTAATACCACAACCAGGGGTGAAAGTAAGCCAGTACGGTCCAGTACTGTGTAGTAGTACCACCAAAAGATTCTGCACTGGTACGCAGTACCTGGAAGAGAAGGGAGTGTCTGTCTGATGTAAAGCCTCATTCAGAACCAGTCACGGCTGCACTTTGGGTCAGAATAGATTTGCTAGCAATAAGCAGTATAAAACACGACTTAATCAGTTAATGTCTTCTTTTTTATTTGAAATTGTTTCTGAACTCTTCGTGCTTTGCTGGAGCCTCGTTTATCTACCACAGTGAAGTTAGTTTTACGTTGAACGTTGGACATTCGAGCTCCGTGGCTTCAGCGGTGTGTTCCTCTCGTTAGATCCGAAGCAGGCAGTCTGATTACAGTCAGCTGCGCTCAGTCAGTCCCTCCTCTGAGACGTAATGGTTCGCTTAGGGACCGTCAACAAATCACTGAACCAAACACTCTTCAGAAACATAAGTGAATATATTTTACGTCATTTGACCCACTGACACAAAACTAATGTTAAACTACTCTACTAGACCTGACACACTAGACACCATCATTTATTTCAAATTTTAAAGCATTTTCTAATTAGTTACTGAGGGAAAACCATGATTTTTGAACAAATAAATTAAGTAAAATTAGAAAATGCCTTAAAATGAGAAATAAATGAGGGTGCCTCGTCTGTCAGGTCTAGTAGAGCAGTTAAACATAAGTTTTGTGTCAGTGGGTCACATGACATGAAAATTATTGTGCAAAACCCACTGAATGTCTGATTTTTTTATGTATCTTTGAAAAATTATAAAAGCTGATACATTCGTTCAAAAGCAAACTTAAAGTTGCAGTATGTAACTTTTATTATTATTTTTTTTTTTTTTTATAAAAGTTACATGCGTTTTTTACACGTTTGTTAAAACTGTCAATATGTCGTGACAGTATACAGATAATCTGTGAAAAAGATTGAGCTCCAAGACTTAAGGTCTTGGTCTCATCTTGGTCTCGGACCCTAAAATTCTTGGTCTTGTCTCGGGCTTGGTACACTCTGGTCTTGGTCTTGCCTTGATCTCGGGTTAGGTGGTTGTAACTACAACACTGAAGTACCGGACTAAACTGTAAAATCAGCAACAGCTGAAAATGTATCTGAAGATTTAAAAATGTATGCCAACAAACCAACAGCTCTTTTGCTAAGTCCTGCTCTTTATACAGCCCACATGCAAGCACACTGCTTCAATCCTGTAATAATAGAATTATTGTAGTAGAATTAAAAAGATGTTGAGAGTTGTACAGAATATGGAGCGTTGTATACAGATAAGACACATGAAGAATGAGTGTAACTTATTTATAACTGGATGTGTGCCGTCAAAACACTGCTCCATGTGCTCCATGTCACATAGTGTTCCTTCATCAACAGAGCTGAAAAGCTGCCAGGTTGCTTTGAACTCGATTAGACACTGGATTACAAACAAATGCTGAGAAAAGAGGACAAGGCAGAGAATATGATGGGAATCATCTCTGGCAACAACAGGCTATCAATCCAATTCAGTTCAGTCTTTCTCACGTATCATTAAAATGACATCAGTCATCTCTCACAAACTTAATCTCTCCAAAGACAGATCGTGCATGTCTACCACCTAAATAATGGGAAGCAGTCACCCTGTCTGAGCTCGTGCCATTCCAACACAACATTCCAACATATCATTAAAAGAGAAAGCAATAACTGAGTCCTGCAGCCTGTCAAGTGAAATGTTCCTAAACCATCTGTTGATTTAGGATTTTAGGTTCCATTTGTGAATTCTTCTAACCTCATAACTCACCTGTATCCTACCATTTATGTCCCTAAAAACCCACTGGGGATCTTTTATTGCTTGCAAATGGAAATGCTTGGGACCACATCACAGTCACATTTTGGCAATGACAAAACCATAAATTTTTAAAACAACACAACACTATCAAAATCAAAGTGGCGTCAACATGAACTTCATCGTTGCTCCAAGTTGTTACCAAACTCCAGTCACTAATATCAAGCATATTTTTCTCTAGATCACTTTTTTATTATTTTTATCTCATATGTTTGAATGGCCATTTAAACAAAACAGAAGCTACAAAATCTAAATGTAACAACTGAAAAAGACAAAAACAAAAAACTGATAAATCAAAAGTTTAGAGGCTTGTGTGATTTATTTTTTTCCACAAAGTTTATGTTTCGATCCTTGTGCCACACAGTCTCTGTTTCTGCCTCTTTAACAATGACACGCCATACATACAAGAGTCCAGAAACCAAAACAAGGTAGGTGTGAACTTCATAACTTTTAACATAAAACCACATCAGCATTAGTTTCACTCCTGACAAAAGGAGTTATAAGTTTTCAGGCTTTCTGTGTTCTTGGTAAATGTTTGAAAATCACTGGACAGCTCCAGCAGGCCTAGAAATCCTATTGAAAAATGTAACCAGAGGCACTGCTGATTAAAGAATTTCACTTAAACTCTGACTAATACTTTATCATGTTAAATTTGTTCTGAAGCAGTAAATGTGATATTGCAAATAAAATTGAGAACAATATTTTGTGCTCCCCTGGCCATCACAGAACTGACCCAGGTGTGTGGCTCTGACAGGTTCAGTTCTAGTCCTTGAAAGACAATAAAGGATCTGTTAGCCCAGTGAATTACTGTGGGGTGTCAGGTTTGTAAATGACCTGAAACTAATCAAACACTGCCTCTGTGGTACATAAAATAAATTATCAAGTATTTTCAGTTCCCATCCCAAGAACTTGTTGATCAATAACAAGAAAGGCAACAACAACAAAAAAAGATTCACAGATTGAAAAGATACAAAATCATCAGTGGTGGAGAAAGTACTCAAACACTGTACTTAAGTAAAAGTACAAATAAACAGACAAAAATGTACAAAAATGTAGTGTAAAAGTAGAAGTACCACATTAACATTTTTACTTAAGTAAAAGTAAATAAGTACTTGCTTTTAAAATACTTCAAGTATTAAAAGTAAAAGTACTTGCTGAACGTATTACCTAATGTAATGGTCTACATATCATTAAGTCTGCGTACCATATGTATATTTTCTGTAATACATTAACAGTGTTGTTCCATTTTAATGAACAATGCTGCAGATAATACATGTTTTTACTGTGTTTACTCTGTGACACAGTTCACACTTGGACTTGAGATTCTGTGCGTCAGAATTTCAGGAATGACCTGCAGAGTTAAATGTCATTAATCAAAATAAGAAAGGAGGAATGATTTTACCTTTGAAAGTTTTTATTTAACACAAAGCAAAACCAATGTGTCATTGTAACTGCAGTAAACACAATGAAGTAAAAGTTGTCTATCTGAAAAAAGGATCATTAGACACAACTAACAAAGGAACAGGCTCTGATCATTTCAACTCCAGTTTGTCATCAACTCTAGTTAAAATACTGTCTAGTCAACCTTGTAATGGGTCAATATTGAACAATATTTTAACTTCCTGACACCATTTTTAAAACTTGGACCTGAGTGTCGAGACATTTGGAGACATCTCTTGTCTGCTAACATCATGAACTGACACATTTTAATATTGCAGCAAGAATTTCTTGTTCAAGTTCAGAAGAAGTTGTTTTCAAATATTTTTTAGTTCAATCTGGCTCTTTTGGGAGAGAGAATCTGTCTTGTTGTACTGAACAGTCTTTCAATAAGGCCATGGGTGGTGCATATCTTCTGGCTGACTCTCTTGCGGTGGAATACATTTTGGGTGTGTTAGTCGTGCTGCGGGTGCACCCAGCTCAGTGACATATATACTAGAATATATATGTCATTGGTCCAGCTCTTCTTGAAGGTGGGTCTAACGTTACCTGCCCACTTTGCAGTGATTCACTGGACCAGCTCCCCTCTCACCATTGGTTACTTTCAAAGTAACAAACAAATCCAAAAGCTGCAACATGAATGTAACCTGTAATGCAACGCATTATAGAAATGTAGTGTAGTAGAAAGTACAGATACTTGATGTAAAATATAGTGAAGTAAAAGTATAAAGTACCCACATTTAACTCTACTTAAGTAAAGTACAGATACACGAAAAATGTACTTAAGTACAGTAACGAAGTATTTGTACTTAGTTACATCCCACCACTTAAAATCATACATAGTATATCTCTTTATGATCTCAGTGGTAGAGAATAGTTAAAGTTCTTTCATTATGTAGTATTTCAACAACTATGTAAGTTGGCCACACTGTGTAGACGTTATAGGCCTTCAGAAAATCCACACACTGTTGAACACAACATTTTAGTCTAAGATCTTGTTTCTATTTAAAGTCGGTTCCTTCTAGGGTTGCAAATTCCCATGAAATTTAGTCATACAGTATAATTCAAAGTCAACTTTTAAACATTAGAACAAACTGAACTGACTTTTTGTTCTCCTTAACCTGTTAAGCAGCATTACTGAAATTACAAGACCCCCATAAAGGAAAGCTATTGAGTTTTGCTTTGGGGCCATTTCTATATTGTGGGGCAGGAAGGAAAGGCTGTCTTTGAACATGTAATAATAGCTGCTGACAAGGCCTTCGCTTTCATCTCAGCTCTCCCCCACACAACTCGTTTAGATCTGGAACCACTCACTACAAAGGAGAATCTCAAATGACAACATTATTACTAGATCCCTTACAATATCATGCAATAAACTCTGGCAGGACAAATTTGTCTTTAAACATGTTAGACCTGCATGCATTCAATGTAGTGGGGAGCTTAATGAGTGCATGAGCAGCTGAGCCCTCTGTCCCTGAGCTAAATAAATGTGTTACTGTGTTGTCGGAAATATCTTATGATGGGTTTGACACACCAGCTTTTGTAGGGATAAAACCTCATTACAAACTTCAGTCTATACTTTAAATTAAGATCATTTATCATCACTGAACTGAAATACAATTTTTAAAGCAACTAAAAATATTCATAAACATTAACAACAGAAGTAGTCAGTCAATAATAAGGTAATATGAGAGGGTTGGGGTGGAACCGCACTTCAATTAGATTTGATTAGACCTGATGACATAATCTTTTGTCAGACACAGTAAAAACCTCTGAAGCAGGTTGAGCAGAGTGGACTAAGAGAGCTTGTTTGTCTTACTTTGGATCACGTGGGCTGTTTGGATGGCTGTTGGTGCGAAGTCTATTCTCTGTTGGTCCTGATGGTCTTTCTGGTCCTGAACCGGGGCTTACCCGTCTGTTGACATCATACAAGAACACTCAGCAACAATGCAAACCAACATCTAATGCTAACAGAAAAATAAAACTAAAAATGTTCAATGAAGCTAAAACAATTTATAATAGCTACTATCAGACCAACAATACATTTTAGGGTATCTTTACTTTCTGACTGTAAACGTTGTCCTTCATTCTCTCTAACATAGATTCAATGTAGATCTCTAGCAAACGTCAAGCCAGGAAAAAAAAACTATATATCCATCCATTTTGTTATTTTGTCTTAAAAGTTCGTTGATTCAGTCAGAACCCACTGCCATATTAACAAATATACTTGCAGAATTTTTCCATGACTGATAGAAAGGTCATATTTATCAGGCAGTTGGGAGGAAAGATGATGCTAAGCTGATTATAGTTAATCTCAAAGAGGCATAAATATCTATATCAAACTTTTAGCTCTGAAGGAGACTTTAAAGGTATTATCTTCCAGAGAGCAAAATATCTGTTGAGATATTTAATGGGATCAAAACAGGACATTTCATTCTCCAGATCAAAGATGTGACATCTTTTAAAATGCTATATAAATTATTAAACTCTTCATCACAATTTCCAACTTAGATTCACACACACAAATACAATCAGCTTTGAAAAAAACTGGTAATGCCAAACAAGTGGCGTCATCAAACGAGTGTCATGTGGCACGCACTTTGGTTCTTCTGGAGAAGGCTCCAGTGCAAGGCCATTGGTCTGTGCAGGGCTGTGAGCGGGGCTGCTCTCTGGACTAACATCCTCTTTTGTGCCATTTGTTGGAAGCAGCTCCAAGTTGGCCATGATGTCCTTCCACTGCTGGGCTGCATTGTGAATTGCTAGACGACGCTTCTCCTTGACGAACAGAGCGAACACACACACACATAATACAAAGAGCATTAGGTTCTCTTTGAACAGGACAAAAGGGATACAAAAATATATATAACCTTGTTGGTGCCTTCATTCGATCACTCCTGCATTCTTTTTCCACTGTTCAAAATCTTATAAAATCAGTTTTCTATTTTATTATTTGGACTAATACAAATTGTTTGCTGTGTATACATCATCAAACCAAATCTAGTAGATTTATATTTAATTTATTGTAACTAACAGTTACTGCAAAAGCAAGTAAGCCTGCACTTTTTTCTCAGCTGTTTTGGTGAATATATTTTAAGAAGTGCTCAATAGTTAAAACCTATTCATAGTGAGAGTTCTTGTCCTCAAGAAGTCCTCCATGGTGACATCGTTCAATCAAATATTTCCAGAACAGCATAAGTTACAGTAGTTTAATATAGGACCATGAGCTCTGCACAGAGTCCATCACACACACAATCACGTGTGCCAAGATGTGTGTGCAGAAAACAAAACATTTTAGATCGTTTGAAGTGGCGTATGTTTTATGAACACTTTTCATAAAAATACAGGGCTCTCTGGTCACTGTGCATCTGTCTGCTTCAGATATACATCTATCACAGGGTTTTCATGGTTGTAAAAAGCTACTTAAAAATACAGATATCACGTTAGTGTTGAACACATATACTTGTAAATGGAAAGTCATAAAATGAAAGATCTTTGTATATATTGTGTAATTATATTTAATTTTTGTATTAATAGTTGCTTTTGTTTCTGTTAGGGCCCACCACTGTAATGTAAGAATTACCTCAGTCAAGATAAATAGTTATTATTCTACTTTTTAATGAGGTGGAAAATATACAGACAAAATTAGCCAAAATATATATTTAAGAGCTTACATTTTACAAGTGGAACAAAAACTAAATCAAAATAAGAACTATATGAGAACTGCCAAGACACAAAAAAAGAAATGTTGAAGCCAAAGTGAATCCTTTTCCCTGTTCTCAAATACCAATAATATAACTATACTCCTTATATTTAAATTACATATAACATTTATCAGGATAAAACAAAAATCATATTTAATCAATATTACAATTTTAAAAGATAAAAGTTCTAAAGGTTTCCAAGCTCCTTCAAAATATTTAAAACCTTCTCAAATAACACCTAAATTTATGTCAAAACACAACTAGCATCCCAAGTTTTAGCTTAACTAAAAACAATCTCTGAAGATGTTTTGCCACTTCTCACTATTCTACAATCTGAAAAAAAAAGTTATTTACTAAAAATCTTGTCCACTAAATCCAGTAAGACAATTTAAAAAAAAACAAGAGCATTGCAGATCAGAGTGGTACCTTATGAATGGTCTGCTTGTGACTCTCCTTCTTCTTTTCCTCCTCTTTTCGAGCCTGTACACCTGCCATGCGCCGATCCTCGTCCTGAAAAGGATAGCTGGTGCAATCAGAGTCTCGCTCCATTCATGAGTTGTAAATTATTCAAGAGGGACGGATGAGGGGAAACACAAAAAGACGCTGTCTAGAAGACTCGTTTCTACACCAAATATTAAACCACAATGAAGGCTGAGAGGAATTCTCTCATCGGCCAGCTGTACCACAGGATTATCTGTCTGATTTTCAATCTCTAATAAACTGCGCCCAGCTGTTGCTGAAAGGCAGGACTCCCAGAATGCAATGCTGCCAACACAATCTAAGAGTGCCGAATAAGAGGAAGGGGATATTCAGCTGTGACAACGCATCAGTCTAATCAACAGAGGCTGAATTGGGTTAGTTCATACAGTTAAGCAAATGCTTTTATTGTTAAAAGTGTGGGTAAAAATATGTTGGGTTTATCATTTTGATGTTCAAATTTATGGGAAGTAAAGTACTTTTGGCTGAACAGTGACTTAAGTCAGTTTGGCATTTTTCCCCCCTAAAATTAAAAATCTCAGACTGCCTTGAACAAATAAATTGTATGCAATATATTATTGGTTTTTAAAAATCTATGTACAGTAACAAACAATCTTGTATTGCCCTGTTATTAATGACAGTTTTTTTTAATCATCTTATATTTAAACTACTGTGATGGACTGGAGACCTGTCCAGAGTGTACCCCACCTCTCACACAGTGACTGCTGGATGGGCACCAGTGACTCCCACCACGCAGAAATGAATAATGGGGTAAAAAAGAATGGATGGATATTTAAACCAACCAATTAATATATTTTTTGCAAGGTCTGTTTATGGGTTGATTAAACAAAAATAATTTTTTTGGTCACCTCATTTGTGACAATATTAACCTTAAATGTAATAAGTAATAGCCAAATCTACCTGCAGATAGTTTAAGGAGCTTGACAGATTAGTGACACTGCTGCAGTGAAGGCGTTACAAACCAGTTGAGGACAAAGATCGCTTCTCATTGCTAATTAAGAAATAAAAATCACTGAAAAGAAACTGCCTCATTGACAGCAACTTTGCTAACAAGGTTTTACAAATCCCTGCAGTCATTGAACTTGGAAGCTGATAACATTTACTTTAAAAATCAAGTAAAAACATGACCAAAAAGGTTGTAATTTGAGCTAAAAGTTGTATTTTTTTCTCTATGTATCAGAAGTATGTTTTGAGGGCAAGGTGTGTGGGATTTTCAAATTCCTTTAAGGTACAAGCTCAGACCTGGGTGCTTCCTGCTTGACATCTTCTAAATGCATGTTGATCATTTGCTGTAGCACTTTTCTGTCACACCGTATAACTACAATGACATCATCTGCTTCAAGAACAAACACTGTTTTGCTAATGTGACGAAAGATAATGTAAAGTGGCAATGCTTTTCTTAATGTTATATAAAGTCACTGACCCTTTTGAACCTCTCCTGTTCAACAAACAAATGTGAAATGTGTTGTGCCAATGACGTAGCCCAAAGAATATTGTATCACTGAAACGTCTGGAGTCGCCTAAATAACAAATGGGAGTTCACACTAAGTTCCATTTGTGCCTCGTTGTAAAAGGATGGAGTCACCCTTGATCATGAACATATTTGGATGATTAAATTCAGATGCCTTTATTTAAAAAAAATACTTCCACATTTACCGAACAGCTAGTTTATCTATTTCAAACACACACTAAAGAAACTTCAGTAGTAGTAGTTTGAGTCTTACTGTGATGCGCTTCATGTCCAGCTGTCTGAGATGAAGCACACAGCGCAGGACGGCCTGCTTGTACCATGTCTCCAGGGCTACAGGATTCCCATCCAGGGTGAGCTCAGAAAGGGTGCGCGACTCTCCGAGGCAGGCTAGCTGATCAAAACTACAAATGAGGAAACAACATGTTGAGTTCTCACACATTATGACTAGCAACACTAAAAAATACATAAATCTTAGCACAAATTTAAATAATTCACTTTTACTAAAACACACCATAATAAATAGAAAATGCAGCTGAGCAGCCTGAAATTACAAATATGAGCCACGCTGGGAAAGAAAGAGGAGATGTCATCTTCACTAGTTAGTTATCATGGACTTGGTGAATCAGAAACTTGACACTAACCGTGGAGCATGTATTCTGTCTAATCCCACCCTCCTACTGTTTAAAGCAAAGCAGTTAGAAATACTAATATGCAAAAGTACCATACATTACATCATATATTAAACTAATTGTTGCAGGACCAAATTTGTGATCTTTGCTCTAAGGTCCCTTACTGGGAAAGCTGAGCACACCAAACAGAAGTCTGTGCTTTGTCTCTCTACCCAGCAACAGAGCACAACTGATGTCCTATCAGCATTACATCGTATCAAAAGGCACATGTAGCAGGTCTATAATACCATCAGATGCAGTGTTTTAATTAGAAATATATGGATATATAATAAAACAGAGGAAAAAATATGCATAAGAAAATGTGTTAAACAGATATTAAAGTTTGAATTTGTCACTGCAAACTTTTGTGGTGCTTAAAAGAAAAATATGTGTTCCATTTTATTGTTATAAGTCGATGTGACGGTGCATTTGATGTTGAATTAAACCGACACATGAACAACAGGGCTGGCATGAAGTGTCAAGTCAAATCTAACAGAGCACAAGGTGACCATGAGTAAGGAGGCTGTCCCTCACTGAATCCATCATCCTGCTCCACTCTGGGACCTTCACTCTGTTTGACTGCTAGGCTAAGTCAAGAAGATAGAATTTAAAAATGCTAAATCAGATTTGATGGGTAAAAGATGTGCTACAGATTGGTGTTTGTGTTCACACGTGACAAACACTTTACCCATTATTGTATCTTTGTTTTCTGAATAACTTTAAATGGTTATACGAAGCATTTCTTAGAGAACAGCCTGATAAAGACTGAAACAAAGAACCTGCTCTAGCCTGGTGCCTTCAGTGTTACAAAAACTGCCCACTACAGTAAACTTGAACGTGTGGCTGTAAGAGTTTGTGTGTGAGTGATGCCAGGCTTTCCAGAAGCTGCCAAGTGTTAGGGGAGGGGACGTGGCACTGTCCAGCCACCATCCCTGTCCCTGCTCTGTGGGAATGAGGGAGTTAAGCAGTAAGCTCTTACCTGATGATGTTGTTGCAGCTGAGAAAGAGACGCTGCAAACAGGGCAGACGGTCCACCTCAGTCTACAGAGAGAAAGAGAGAGAGGGAAGACTGAGTGATGGGTGGATGTAGAGAAGAAAAGATGCTCAGGAAGAGGGTACTGCATCGTCACAGCTCTGCTTCCCTCTCCATTCCCTCAGTCACCTTGTAGCTGTGTGCTCTAGCATTCAGCATCCCCATCCGTTCTGCGCATGCACCCACACACATATACTGTACAGCATGCTGCCTTGTCTGCACATGGAGAGGAGGGGCAACAGTGAGAGAATATGAGCGAGAGAGCATGATGAGAATAAGAGAAGGGGGAATGCGCTAATGCAGAGGTCTCCTGCTGCAGGAAGCTAACGCTAACTGAAACATCTACACATCCAGCAGCGCAAATAGCTAACAGTATGGCACCGTATGATACAAAATCTCTAAATGGGGTGAATTCAATACAAGTTGCTTGAGGCGACAAAGTGCTTTTACTGAGAGACAAGCTCAGTTTTAAAATCAATGCTGGTTTAGTGAGGGGGCAGGGTGAAGAGCAGCAGCTGGCCAGCTGACCTGGACAAACAGGCACAAAAGCAATGTCAGAAACATGGCAGCTAATCAAACACCCAAGTGGAAGCACTTCATGTTCACTAGTGTCTAGATCTATGCTGTGTGAATGTGTGTGTATGGATGGCCAGCATCACACATGCTAGAAGCAAAAATGACCCTCCCAGCAGCAGTCTCAATGAGCTGTGTCAGCATCCACCCAGCCAACGCCCTGCTTCCTCCTGCTGCCAGTCTAACAGATGATGCTAGTTCCCCTGTAGAGATAGAGATAATAAAACACTGCAGCAAACTCGGACAAGGATATCCACACCTGACTTTGTGTCTTTGAACCATTGTCAGTTTTGTTGCAAATGTATAGTAACAGTGGCAGATTTATTGGAGAAAATGTAATTTGCACATCTGTTTTCTACCATTCATGTGCACATCACTACATGAATAATAAATTGTTAACCAGTTGGTCAATCAGCTTTGCTGGCGAGGGCGCCCTGCTGTTAGTTTATGAGCCAACCTGCTTAATGCTCAGACAGCATAACATCTGTTAGAAATTAATGTTGAACATCATGCAACATTTAGGAATATGTTCACTGCAGCTCAACTTTAACAGAACCAGAGTGAATTCATCAATAATAATGTGTTAACTTATCACAGCAGCCTTCAAGGTGTTTCAAGACAGAAAGTGCAGAGGAAAGTGGATAACTGGTTGGTTGTAAAGCTGGAGTCTTTAACTTAGAATAGAATAGAATTCAACTTTGTCATTGCACATGTCAC